GTGTGGGGCCCCTGTGGCGAGGGGGGGGGGGGGGGGTATCGCGATATGGGGGGGATATCGCGATATGGGGGTGATATCGGGGGGATATCGTGACGTGGGACGGGGATATCGCGATATTGGGGGGGATATCGCGACGGGGGCGGGCGGTGTCGCAGCCGGGCTTTTTGGGAGGGCGGCCGTCGCGACAGGGATATCGCGACAGGGCCGGTGTCGGACAGGGATATCGCGACACGCCGGGTTATCGTGACGCAGTTATCGTGACAGGGATGGGTCTCTGTCGCGATAGGCTGATGGAATGACAGGCCGCTATCGCGACAGGCCGGTGTCGCGACAGGCCGATATCGTGACAGGCCATATCGCAGCAGGCTGCTATCGCGACAGGCCAGCACTGCGACAGCCCGTATCGCCAATATCGTGACAGGCGATGTCGTGACAGGCCGGTGTCACTGCTATCGCGACAGGCTGGTATCGTGACAGGCTGGTATCCCTGCTATCCCGACAGGCCGGTGTCACGACGGGCAATATTGAGACAGGCCGATATTGTGACAGGCTCCTATCGCGACAGGCTGCTATCACCAGTGTCACGACAGGCTGGTATTGCGACAGGCCGATATCGCAGCAGGCTCCTATCACGACAGGCTGATATCGCTGCTGTCGCGACAGGCTGCTATTGCAGCAGGTTGCTATCGTGACAGGCTGATATTGCGACAGGCTGGTATCGTGACAGGCTGTATTGGCAGTATCGTGACAGGCTGATATTGTGACAGGCTGCTATCGCTGCTATCGCGACAGGCTGATATTGCAGCAGGTTGCTATCGCAGCAGGCTGCTATCGTGACAGGCTGGTGTTGTGACAGGCCCTATCGCGACAGGCAGTATCGTGACAGGCTGCATTGGCAGTATCGCGACAGGCCGATATCGCTGCTATTGCGACAGGCTGATATTGTGACAGGCTGCTGTCGCTGGTGTCACGACAGGCTGTATCACGACAGGCCCTATCGCGACAGGCCGTATCGCGACAGGACGATATCGTTGCTATCGCGACAGGCTGATATTGCAGCAGGTTGCTATCGCAACAGGTTGCTATCGCAACAGGCTGCTATCGCGATAGGCCGTATCGCGACAGGCCGGTATTGCAGCAGGCTGATATCGTGACAGGCCCTATCGCGACAGGCCGTGTCGCCGCTATCGCGACAGCCGCTCCCTCTCCCTCCCTGCCCAGGCGCTGTCGCTGCTGCTGCTGCCGGGGCTGGGCCGGAGGGTGACAACCACGGCCACCGCGGCCACCATGGAGGGGACAGCGGGGACAGCGGGGACAGCCCCGGGGACAGCGGGGGACACGTGCGGCAGCGCTGGGAACGGCACCGGGGACAGCAGCGGGGACAGCGCGGGTGACACCGGGGACGTCTCGGCCGCCTTCGTCACCTGCCCCAACCTCAGCGTGGCCACCGAGCTGGCCAGGTGACACTGGGGACACTGGGGACACTGGGGACACTGGGGACACCGAGCTGGGCAGGTGACACTGGGGACACTGGGGACACTGAGGGGACACCGAGCTGGGCAGGTGACACTGGGGACACTGGGGACACTGGGGACACCGAGCTGGGCAGGTGACACTGGGGACACTGGGGACACTGCTGGGGACATTGGGGACAATGGGGACACTGGGGACAGTGGGGACATTGGGGACACTGGGGACATCGCCAGGATGGACAGCGCGGGGACGCTGCAGGTGACACTGGGGACACTGCTGGGGACATTGGGGACACCCCTGGGGACATTGGGGACATTGGGGACATCGCCCGGATGGACAGCGCGAGGACGCTGCAGGTGACACCCCTGGGGACACTGGGGACACCCCTGGGGACACCGGGGACACCGGGGACACCCCTGGGGACATTGGGGACACTTCCTGCCCTTGGGGACAGAGTTTGGGGACACTGTCCTGCCTTTGGCGCCAGTCCCCGCTCGTGTCCCACTGTCCCCAGACTGTGTCCCCAGAGGTGACAATGACAGTGACACTGACAGTGACAATGACACTGACACTGACAGTGACAATGACACTGACACTGACAGTGACAATGACACTGACAGTGACAATGACAATGACAATGTCCCTGTGTGTCCCCAGGCGCTGAAGGTGACAGTGACAATGTCCCTGTGTCCCCAGGGTGACAATGACAGTGACAATGTCCCCTGTGTGTCCCCAGGCGCTGAAGGTGACAATGACGAAGGCCCCCGGCAGTTTCCGCGCGCAGGGCTGGCTGTCCCCAGGGTGACAGTGACACTGACAGTGACACTGACAATGACAATGTCCCCTGTGTGTCCCCAGGCGCTGAAGGTGACAATGACAATGACAATCTCTGTGTCCCCAGGCGCTGAAGGTGACAATGACAATGACACTGACAGTGACAATGACAATGTCCCCTGTGTGTCCCCAGGCGCTGAAGGTGACAATGACAGTGACACTGATACTGACAGTGACACTGACAATGTCCCCTGTGTGTCCCCAGGCGCTGAAGGTGACAATGACAATGACACTGACAGTGACACTGACAATGTCCCCTGTGTGTCCCCAGGCGCTGAAGGTGACA